AAGATTTTATTTATTTGAGAGAGAGAATGAGAATGAATGAGCATGAGAGGGCTAAGGTCAGAGGGAGAAGCAGACCTCTTGCTGAGCAGGAAGCCTGATGTGGGACTGGATCCTGGGACTCCAGGATCATGACCTAAGCTCAACTGAGCCACCCAGGTGCCCCTCATCCGATAATTCTTATGTCTGAAATCATAGCATTTGTGTCTCTATTAGATTTTTTTTTCTTCCCTCCTTCCCTCCATCCCTCTTCTTTCCTTTCCTATCCTATCCTCTCCTCCCCTCCCTTCCCTTCCCCTCCCCTCTCCTTTCTTTCTCTCTCTTTCTTTCTTTCTTATATTCATTTTACTTAGAGAATTAATTACATGAGTTCTTTGAGGCTTGGGATTGTGATGCTCCTCCAGAAAGAATTTTTCTGAAACACTAAAGGCCCTGCGTTTGGGAGCAAACGCAGATTTAGACCATTTCAGTCTAAATCCACAACTTTATTTTTTATTTTGGATTCCTAAGAAATATGAATTTGAGCTGCAAATTGGCAGAGCTTGCATTTGGTTAGAACTTTTCAGAAATGCATTTGGTTAGAACTTTTCAGAAATTTTTTTGTTCTTTCTTTGCTAGACACAAAGACACCTTTTCTTACAGTCTTCTCTGAGGGTGAGATGGGTAGGTTATTTAGGCATACACTTTTAGATTAATGCCATAAAGATCACCTATTGACTTCCTTCCTTGAGCCAATCCTAGAATTTGCATCTTGTCTACTACCCTTTGAGGCTGACAAAACCAAAGCTCTGTTCTATGGTATAGGTTTTTTACCTGGTTATTCTTTTTTTTTTTTTTTTCCAAATTTTTTTAAATTAACATATAATATATTATTTGTTTCAGGGGTACAGATCTGTGATTCATTAGTCTTATACAATTCACAGTACTCACCATAGCACGTACCTTCCCCAGTGTCCATCACCCAGCCTTCCCTCCCTCACACTCCCTGACCTGGTTATTCTTTATCATTTTGTCAGCTGTTAGATTTTTTTAAGATCTTTTCACTCTTTCATTGGGCATTTTCTGCATTAAGGATAGTCTATATTATTTAATTTGCCACTGTATTCACATTATCTAAAAACACTGTGGTTGTGCTTTTTTTTTTTTTTTTTTTTTTTTTGGGTAGTACACACTCTTCATAATATTTTAAATGGCTTTATAGGTTAGAAAGTGACTCATGAGTTATTTAATCATTCTCCAATTTGGACATTAAGCTTTTTTATTTAGGGTTTTGCTATTATGAATATTACTGAAAAACTGATTTCATTGGTAAAAATATTCACAATTTTTATTGCCTTAATTCCTGTTGTGGTGGTACATTTTCCAAATGTAAAATATCTATTCTTGGTCATTCAAATCTTGAGTCTTTATAAAGGTTTGTATAATATTTTCATAAAGATACTAATTCATTGTCTCTGAAAGTTACTTTACTAAAATGCTTCTGTGTCTACTGGAGGAGTATATATTAATGGAAACTGTCAATGATACTTCTGTCAGGTTTTGTTTTTTTTTAAAGATTTATTTATTTAGGGGCGCCTGGGTGGCTCAGTGGGTTAAAGCCTCTGCCTTCGGCTCAGGTCATGCAGGGTCCTGGGATCGAGCCCCGCATCGGTCTCTCTGCTCAGAGGGGAGCCTGCTTCCTCCTTTCTCTCTGCCTGCCTCTCTGCCTCCTTGTGATCTCTGTTAAATAAATAAATAAAATCTTAAAAAAAAAAAAAGATTTATTTATTTATTTGACAGACAGAGATCACAAGGAGGCAGAGAGGTAGGCAGACAGAGGAAGAGAAGCAGGCTCTCCGCTGAGCAGAGAGCCCGATGCGGGGCTCGATCCCAGGACCCTGGGATCATGACCTGAGCCGAAGGCAGAGGCTTTAACTTACTGAGCCACCCAGGCGCCCCACTTTTGTCAGGTTTTAACAAATGTTCTTATTAATCATATTTTACTTGGAAGAAATTACTTAAAATTTATCCCTGTTAATTGTGTAACAATTCTTTTTTTCATTGCTGTTTAGCATTCTTGTGATACTTCCCTCAAAATCTTTCCTTATTTAAAAAAATTTTTTTCGGGACGCCCGGGTGGCTCAGTTGGTTAAGCAGCTGCCTTCGGCTCGGGTCATGATCCCAGCGTCCTGGGATCAAGTCCTGCATCGGGCTCCTTGCTCATCAGGGAGCCTGCTTCTCCCTCTGCCTCTGCCTGCCATTCTGTCTGCCTGTGCTCGCTCTCTCTCTCTGACAAATAAATAAATAAAATCTTTAAAAAAAAAAAAATTTTTTTTCCCTTTCTTCTCTAAAACCTACCACTAGTCTTCTGCCCCACAACCTCACAATCCCCCCAGTAGCCATCTGTTATTAGTTTTTTTGTGTTTTAAAAATACCTCCTTGGAGCGCCTGGGTAGCTTAGTTGGTTAACCTCTACCTTTGGTTCAGGTCATGATCCCAGGGTCCTGGGATCAAGACCTGCATCAGCTCCCTGCTCAACAGGGAGCTGCTTCTCCCTCTGCCTGCCCCCGCCCCCTGTCAAATGAATAAATAAAATCTAAAAACAAAAACAAAAAAACCTCCTCACCCCCCGCACATCTCAGTGGTTTATAGCAATTAACATTTATTTCTGTCACGCTACTGACATTTATGCAGCTGTGAATCCGTTCTTGCAACAGCCTTTCACGTGTATTTCACGTGTATCCAGGGCTCAGGCCGAAAGTGTCACCGCATTTGAGAAGTGACATTCTTGTAGCAGAGAGTAAAATAATAGGAGAGCTGGTGTAAACCCATAGTGCCTCTCGAAGTGTCTGTGTAGAGAGGGTGGTATATGTCATATCTGTGTACTCACATGATTTTAAGTGCAGTGGGAATTGCATAAAAATATGTGGTACTGGGGGCGCCTGGGTGGCTCAGTTGGTTAGGCATCCAGCTCTTGATTTCAACTTAGGTCATGATCTCAGGATGGTGAGATCGAGCTCCTCATCAGCTCTATGCTACAGGTGGAACCTGCTTAGGATTCTCTCTCCCTCTCTCTTTCTCATAAAAACAAGTGTGGTATTTAAGTCACAGTACTAGCCAGAGTATATCACGGAAGGGACAAGTAAATACTTGTCAACAGTAATACAGTCTGCTGTATCTCTCATGTTTAACTTCCTGGTGTAAATTTTCGTAATTACTCATATCCATATTGAAGCTTCTTTGTGAAGTTTTCCTTTATGCTTTAAATATAGTTATTTCTGCTTTAAAAATGAATCATTTTATCTGTGATCTTGAACGTACTTAATGTAAGTTTATCAAGGACAGATTCTTGTCTGCTTTGTTCAGTGCTTCCTCAGCAATAGAAGAATGCTTGACTCACAATGTGCTTTCAATAAATGTTATGTTTCTCTTCCTATTTAATCACTTCTGTCACTTACCTCATTTTTTCTATTTTCATTGTCAGTTTTCCTTGCTTGCTCTATCACTGAAGTCTCTTAATGACTATACATTTTCTTTATTTTAATAAATCATAACTGCATATTTAAGGAATTCTGTTAACTCTTTTTAATGAAGAGAATAAACTTTTTGAGCTTTAAGCTCCTCTGGAGAATATAGCCTATGTATTTCTTCCCATAAAATGCTCATCACCCTCTCATTAAAAAGAGAAAAGCAACACTCCCTTTGACTCTTAAAATCTGACTTCTCACTATTGTTCTAAAATTTCTTTACTTCTTACATTTCTCATTCTCTTTGACTTTTATTGAGCCCCTACCCACTTAAATGCTATTCCTCTAGATCCTGAGAAATTATAATTCACTGTTCTTTCTTTCTAAGTCTGTTTTCTTTTTTCTTAGAATATTCTTCCTTCCTCTACCACTTAAATGTACTATTACTCCCAGGTTCTATTTTTAACTCTCCATTTTTTGTCTTCTCTTGTATGTATGTGTTTTTTAGGGTGCATGTTCAAGCAGGAGGGAGGGGGGGTAGGGAGGAGCAGCAGAAGGAGAGGGCCAGAGAAAATCTTAAGTAGGCTCCATCCAGCATGTGGGGCTGGATCTCAGGACCCTGAGATCTTGACCTGAGCTGAAATCATGAGTCAGACCTTTAACCAGTGGAGCCACCCCAGGCACCCCATCCTTTGTCATTTTTAGTAGAATCTCATTCATGTGGTTTTCACATTTGTTTCTACATAGATGATTTGTGAATTTGTGTCTTAACCCTAGTTAATTTATGAATTTGCCTTATTTCCACTTGTGTCTTGCCATCACCTCAATCTTGACACGTCCAAAACCAAATTGTTTCCTACTAGTATTGATTCCTCCCGTTGGAACTAACTCCTCTTTCTGTTGCTGGTGCAGATTCACCAGGCTTCGGAAAGGAAAGGGAAGGATACCGGCATTTGTTTGGCATCTGGGATACACTAAGCACTGTGCTTTTCAATTACATCATGTCCAGCTCAGGTTTTATCTCCTGAGAAACCTTCAGACAATCACAGTGGATCCTCTGTGATCCCTTCTTAGACCACTTATAGTATGTTGTGTTTAAACCACTAGATCCTCAGTATATAAATCTCCAATAATTTATATTTTTTGTTTGTAAGCCTTTCAAAAACAGGGATTTTAATGTCATATTTCTTTTCATCAAAACAGTACTCTCTAGGTACAGTACATTTTAATAAATATTTGACATTTTTCACAGAGAAACTGTGCTCTCAATAAGGGCTCTCAGCCTCAGTAACAAAACTAAAAAAATGAAAATGAAATAACCAGTAACACAAAACTAAACAGCAAAGCTGGACTCGTGAACCTCGGACCCAGCTGAAAGGGGTTAGCCTCTAGAAGGGGCAGAGGCTCTTTATGTATACATTAAGAAGCACCTGTTGAACAAATCCTAACAGTATCTCTTTATGAATAATATACCATCATGAGGTTTTTTTTATATTGCTTTGATAACCATATTTATAGAGGTAGAATTATTTACTTTAGCTTCTCTTCCCCCACTAGGTGCACCAGGTATAATTTCTTCACCCTATGCAGGGGCAGCTGGATTTGCCCCAGCCATTGGATTTCATCAAGCTACAGGTGATTTTTTTTAAGTTGAATTTGAAATGGTTTTGTCATCATCTATATGTTCTAGGAACTTATCAAGATGAAAAATAGCACCATATTTGAAGGATTTACAATAAAAGGGTTATGTATATCAACCATAGAAATGGCTCATCGTAGGGATTCCTGGGTGGCTCAGTTGGTTAAGCGCCTGCCTTTGGCTCAGGTCATGATCCCAGAGTCCTGGAATTGAGTCCCACATTGTGCTCTCTGCTCAGCAGGGAGCCTGCTTCTCCTTCTGTCAGCTGCTCTGCGTGTCTGTGCTCTCTCTCTAACAAATAAAATGAATAAAATCTTAAAAAAAAAAAAAGTGGCTCATCGTATGATGCTCAGCTTCCTTGTCCTTATGAATAATTCCCTGTGGTTCCATTTCCAGCCCCCCAGGTTCCAGTGTATGTTCTGTATCATTTATATTATTGGTACAGATTATGATAGGTTGACTGTATTAAGTAACCTTACATTTGCCCTTTAGATTCCTGTATAAAATGTATAAACTGCTTATGTCTTTGCTGATAAGCTTATCAATTGCATGTTGGACAGACCTGTGTCTTACTTAATTTGTGTTCTTAATGCCTTTGATGGCATTCAGTACATTCTATGCAGTCAGTAAACACTTCAGTTATTTTTGTAAAAGATTCTATTCATTTATTTGAGAGAGAGGGAGAGAGAGAGAAAGAGCATGACTGGGGTGAGGGGCAGAGGGAGAAGCAGACTCCACACTGAGCAGGGAGCACAATGCAGGGCTCAATCCCAAGAACCTGAGACCATGACCTGAGCCAAAAGCAAACACCCAATAGCCTGAGCCACCTAGGTACCCCAGTAAATATGTGAATTAATAAATATTTACTATACAGCATATTTGTAAATCCTTTTTTATGTCACTGATAGTTTCAGAGGATTGCCATAGAGAGTACACATGCTCCTTGTAGTAGGGGATATATAGTTTTTAGCTAATAGAGATAATTAAGAGATAGCAGTTGGTTAATATTTTGATAATGACTTCTCACTCTTCCAAATAGTAAGTGAAATGAATTTGATCATAACTTAAGGAAAAGAAGAAAAATTACTTTATGGTTTTGTCTCCAGTGCCTAAAGAAAACACTGAGGTTGCTGATTAAAAGTGATACAGTGTTAATCCTGGTGTACATATTACATTTCCAGTTTCCAACTGATTAATGAGTATAACTCTGTTTTAAATTGCAACATAGATCCTTTCTGTACTAATCTTTACATTTCTGTCCCTCCAATTTTGGGAATTTTAAGTACTCTCTGATGGAGAGTATGACATGTGACTAAAAGGGAAAGAGTAATAAGGTTGACGTTTAAGTTTTATGTTTTTGGTGGTTTTAAGTCATCTTAATGTATGTCTAATTAAATGAATATTCTACCTATTCCATTAAAATGGAGGCATTATACATTATTTTTATTTATTTGAAGCTCCCCAAAGTTTAATTGATAAACATTTGGAAGTAGTGATACAAGGTTTCCTTCATTTTAGATAGTTCTTTTTCACACACTATGTGTAAATCACTATAGACATTAAGAAGGAGAAAAAATGGCATAAAGGGGACTCCTGAGTTGCTAAGACTTAAGCTTTAGTAGGGAGATAGATACACACTACACCCTTGGTGTAGGCAAATTGTACTGTTGGTGATATAGAATAAATCTACAGAAGTTACTCAGAAGTTGCAGAGTTGGATTGGAGGGATATGGGAAGAGGCCATGTGAAAGACCACTGAATAAAGATTTCATGGAAAAGTATCCAGCCTGAGAAAGTGGTCTGTAGAGTTTTAAAGCTCAGCAGGACAATGATAGTAATGACCTTATTAGATTGTCAAGCCGAATAGTCTGAAAGTAAACTATGTTGCAGCTTAATTATGTGATTTGTGGCAAAGTGGTCAGACTCTATAATAAGGAATTTTGAGCTTAAAGAATCAATAAATATCATTAAGGAACTGGTTCATTTTACACAAACTAGAGATTTTACCTTAGTTAAGCTGAGAACACAAATAGTGGGACCTTCTGAAAAAGTGTCAGAAGTGGGACACTTCTGAAAAGTGTGTTATTTTAAGCATAATGTGTAGTGTCAGTATTCCAGTATTAGAGGAAGTCTGCTTCTCCCTCTCCCTCTGTCTTATCCCCCTGCTTGTTCTCTGTCTCTCTCTCTCTCTCAAATGAATAAACATAATATTAAAAATATTTTATTTTTATTTTTTGGTAGAAACCAAATGAAAAACTACATCTACCATATAGGGATGTGCTAGACTGTATCTCTTTCAAGAAAAGGAATACTTGCAGTTGATATACCCTCCAGAAGCCTCATGGCTTTAAGACTAGTGAATTCTGTTGCACTGCAAAACATTGTGTTACAAATAATACAGAGTATGATGATGTCAAAGAATAAGGAACTTGACTCCTAGACTAACTCTGTAGGGCAGGAAATTGGCCTTTGATATCCTTATGGTAGATTCGACACATTTTCTTCTATATTTTTGCTTTCATCTTCATTTATTTACTTAAGATATATCCAGTGTTGTAATTCCCCAGATAACCAATATATGAAATGCTTTTGATGTTTTAAAAAGGATTATCAGTCCCAGCTGTTCCTGGAGCTCTGGGCCCTCTCACAATCACCTCCTCTGCTGTCACTGGAAGGATGGCTATTCCTGGGGCTGGTGGTATACCAGGAAATTCTGTTCTGCTTGTCACCAATCTCAATCCTGATGTGAGTTTGAAAGTATTACATAATTTTAGTCTTTTAGGCAGTGGAATAGTAGTTTCTGGAGTGGGGTTATATTCAAATGAAAATGTTTACATTTGTTTCAAGGATTTTTATTAAAGTTTATCACTAGTATATATAGGAAAATATAAAATCAATGCTTTAAACAAAGTCAACTGCTGTTTTTACAGGTAAACTTCCTTTAAATTTTTACTTGGACACTTATAATTTGTGTTATCCTTTTCAAACAGCTTATCACACCACATGGGCTTTTTATCCTGTTTGGTAAGTTCTTCTTTGCTCTTTTTGATGTCTGTGGTGTGGATTAAATATATTTCATCATTCAGTAATATTTATCAGTTCTATGTGCCAAGTAGTGTATTTGACACTGAGGGTAGAATAGGAAGTAAGACTTAGTAATTACAGTTACAGTAGAGTTTTATAAAAAGGGAAATAGAGATTGTAATGGGAACATGGAGATGGGAGACCTAACCTAGCTGAGGGAATCGAAGATGGTGTACCAAAAGAAATGATAGTTAAGCTGACTTGTGAAAAATGAGTAAGCATTAGCCAGCCAGAAAGGGCAAGTGTCCTTTCCCAGATACTAGCAGTAGATGAGAGGGCTCCTAGAACATGGAAGTGAAGGAAACCCCACCCCCCAGTGGAAAGTATAGGGGAGGCACATGTGCAGTATGGGCAAGGTCATAGGAAGAGCTTTGTAAACTAAATTAAGGAGCTTGATTTTGAACCTAAGAACAGTGGGAAACCATTGAATAGTTTAAAGCAGGCAAGAGGTCAGATGAAATTCAAGTTTTAAAAAACGAGATTGAGGTTTTAAAAGGTCTCCAGGCCTTCTAATATGTTCTTCTCTCAGTTAAAAAAAAAAAATTAGCATGTACTCCTAACTTATGTATGATTATTTATAAACTTTATCCATCTTTCACTGTACTCATGTACAGTATAATATGTACAAATATAAGAGCAATACAATAAGTAATACAATAAGTCAGCATTTTAAAGCTTTTTACTGATGAAAATTTTCATAAAAAACCTTAACATATAGTGAGAAATATGATTTAACATGCTTCATTATTTTCAAAAATCTTTTCCATTTTGATTTAGTATTCCTGGATCTGATTCCAAGTTCACTTTATTTTAGTACTTGATCTTAATGTTTGTCATAACTAAGAAAGATAGCTCATAAAGACAAGTGATTCTAGTGGAAATGTTTCATTGTCACTGTGCCTAATTAAGTATGATACTAATATTTCAGTCTAATCCACTTACTTTTGTTGTACGTACCTAGAGAAGCTCCATTTTTTCTCTTGTTAAATTGGTTGATGTCAAAAACTGTTGGCATTAGAATTTTTTTAAACAGATGGATTTAAAACTCACTGGTACTCTTTATTTGGAAGTTTTATTAGGATGGAAAATTGTTTCAAAATTTTGAGTAGATAATTGAATTTTTAAACAGTCTTTTTGAGATAGAATTTATAATCCTACAGTTCACCTGCCTTAGGTATTACATCATTGATTTTTAGTAAATTTACATTGTTTTACACTCTTTACCACAGTCCAGTTTTAGAACATTTCCATCACCCCACAGAGATCCTTCATACTCATTGGAATTACTTTGGAAGTTTTTATTCATGACACATTCATGTAATTTTCAATAACAAAATTAGGTATTAATGATAAATTTTCACATGTCTCTTTAATAGCTAAAGTACATTATTTCTAAAAGCTAATTTCTTATTCATTTAAAAAAATGTCACCCTCAGCTTTCAAATTGTATGTGTTATTTTTTAAAGAATATTTGTTTCAGATACTCACCATTTCTAAGAAGGACAGCATGTTTGGAATGCTTGTCTTTTTGTTTTAAATTTTAGAAGTGCCATTCATCTCTAATTTCAGTTGCTCTTAGGTGCTTTCCCACAAGATAACCAGCACTCTTGTGTGCCTTGAAGATTTTCAGTTATTCTCTCATCACATTACAAAGTATGATCATGGTGCTACTTGCTTAAGGTTCTTATTTTTATTATATTGGTGATACACTGTAGCATATAAACTGCAATGTATTTTGGTATACTGAATTTAAAAAAGAGAGAATACTCTTCTTATTATAGAAATTTCTGCCTGTAATGTCATGTATATATTAAAAATTAGTAAGGTGTAGTTTTTCATATTGGCTTATATAAGCAAATCAGTGTAAATATGAGTTTGATTATTTTCCCCCTACATCCCAATGAATCATTTTGCCAGTCCTTCAGAATATGGGATCCACTTAGGGGAAGACAGGAATTGGGGTCAGTTAGAAGGCTATTAGGATAGTTCAGGTGTGAAATGATGATGGCAGTTTTGATGGTAATGAGGATGGGAAGAAGTAGACAAATGTAAGAGATAATTTAGGCCATAAAGTCAATGGGTACTGGTGATTGATCAGATGTAAAATTTTAAGGAAAAGGAGAAATTAAAAGATGACTCCCAAGTGTCTGAATATGTGAATGATGATAATATTTATTAGCATAATTAGTGAACACTGGAAGCAGGGAGAAGAAAGAGGAGATGAATCTGTTTGGGATGTACTAAATTTGAAGTGTTTATGGGACATCCAAGTGAAAATGATTGATTGAGTAGATTAAAAGATCTGAAATAGAAGAGATACAAATTTGGGTTCACATGTGTGGAATTACCCAGAGAATATATATAAGATGAGAAAAGAAGCCTTCTTTAAATGTATTTGTAATATTAAACATTACACAGTCAGGCATTAAGATTTTTAATAAAATTGTTTTTGTCTTTTCAATTAGGAGTATATGGTGATGTACATCGAGTGAAGATTATGTTTAATAAGAAAGAAAATGCTTTGGTTCAGATGGCAGATGCGAGTCAAGCTCAGCTAGGTACGGACGATTAATAATAGTAATGATAACCTGCCCCTTTTGTATGTGAATTTTCCTATAAAATAAACTTATAGGTAGTAGGAATATGATTTTACTGAAGAGTACCTCTTTATGCAAATGTCTTCATTATTATTTGGACCTGCTTATAGTTTAAGATTTAAAAATACTTATTACTATTTGAAGTCTGAAGTTCATTCATCTATTTGAAAATATTGTTGATGTTTAGAACTTTGACTCTAGGGACACCTGGGTGGCTCAGTTGGTAAAGCATCTGCCTTTGGCTCAGGTCATGATATCAGGGTCTTGGGATCAAGTTCCACATCCAGCTCCCTGCTCAGTGGGGAGTCCACTTCTCCCTCTGCCTGCCGCTCCCCCTGCTTGTGCTCGCTCGCTCTCTCTCTCTCTCTCTCTCTGAGAAATAAGTGAATAAAAAGAACTTTGACTCTAGGATTTTTCCATTAATATAAACTAATAAATGCAACTTGTTTTATTTAATTTTTGTTCGTTTATTTATTTGTTTTTCTTCCAAATTAAGTTTTCTGCAGTTATTTCATGGCTTAAAAGTTTGTGTAAACTTCTTAATGATAGTGCAAGAAAATGGCATTCTGTGGTCTTATTGTTCATTGTTAAAGTGGCTGTTAAAAATATTACTACTTAACTGGGGCGCCTGAGTGGCTCAGTGGATTAAGCCTCTACCTTCGGCTCAGGTCATGGTCTTGGGGTCCTGGGAGCGAGCCCAGCATCAGGCTCTCTGCCCAGCGGGGAGCCTGCTTCCCTCTCTCTCTCTCTGCCTGCTTCTCTGCCTATTTGTGATCTCTCTCTCTCTCTGTGTCAAATAAATAAAATCTTAAAAAAAAAATCACTACTTAGATATTTTTATTAAAAAAAAAAATGTGTTCCCAAGGGGAACCTGGCTGGCTCTGTTGGTAGAACATGCGACTCTTGATCTGAAGTTTGTGAGTTCAAGCCCCATGTTAGGCACTTAAAAACAAAACAAAACAAAACTGTTGCTTGAGAGTAAACTACCTTTATTCAGTAACCATTTCCTGAGCACTTGTTATGTTCTCTGCACTATGGAACTTTCTAGCACTCTGCTAAGAAGATAATTATTTTTTTTAAGATTCCCTCTCTTCTATTATAGTCAAGTAAAGTCATTTAATACATTTCTGTATGTAAGAGTTTTAACCCTTTTAACCCTCATAACTGGCAATATAATCTTAAGTGACTAAATAAAAGGAATTTGTGATAATTTAGACAAATTTTACAGTGACTCTATCTTAATATCCAGACTTTTCTTATTTTCTTCCTATATGCCAGCAATGAACCACCTGAGTGGACAGAGACTTTATGGAAAAGTACTTCGCGCTACACTGTCCAAACATCAGGCAGTTCAGCTTCCTCGAGAGGGACAAGAAGACCAAGGTCTGACTAAGGATTTTAGCAATAGTCCTTTGCATCGCTTTAAAAAACCTGGCTCTAAAAACTTCCAGAATATCTTTCCACCATCAGCTACCCTGCATCTTTCCAACATTCCGTATGTACCTAATTATTTATTATTCATTTAGATGATTAATTATGTTTTGAGAGAGGTAGAAACTCTGAAATTATTCTAATGTAGCAATTATCCTAGTCATTAATTTCTTGTGACATGGTTTATTTGCCATCATGTCTTAAGGTTATATCTTTAGTCATATACTCTAAAAGTAAAAGGTAAAATTTCTTTCCATATAGGGAATTAGCAACTAGTTACCTCTCAGTTTTAAAAAGGCATTAAAATAAGTTTGTGCAGGGACACCTGGGTGGCTCAGTGGTTGGGCATCTGCCTCTTGGCTCAGGTCATGATCTCAGGGTCCTGGGATTGAGCCCTGCATCGAGCTCCACGCTCAGTGTGGGGAGGGGGGCAGTCTGCTTGTCTCCTTCTCTCTGCCCCTCTCTCAGCTTGTACTATCTCTCTAAAATAAATAAATAAATCTTTTCTAAAGAAAAGTTTGTATGGAAATATTCCATTGGTACATACTTGTTCATCTCTTTGTATAGAATTAAAGGATTAATGAGCATAGGAAAATCAAATACTTTGTGTCTAAAAATATGGGGAAAATGAAGTTTCTAGTATTTATGTACAAGTTGCAAAGCCATATATATGAAAAAAATTGTTAAAGCCATGTATGTGTTAATTACTTAAAAGCTAAAAATTACGTTATTGTGACCACTCTCTGTTAAACAGTGTTGTAGTAGACTTGTTCTTTACTCATCTTCTAACTCAGGGATTAGCAAACTACAGCCCACAGGCCAAATCCATGTGTTTTTATATGGCCTGTGAGCTAAAATTGATTTTTACATTTTTAAATGGTTGGGGAGGGTGGGAAGCAAAAGAGAAGTATTTTGTGATTTGAGAAAACTATATAAAATTCAAATTTCACCTTCCAAAAATAGTTTCAGGGCAGATAACCACACTCATTCATTTACATAGTGTCTGGTTGCTTTTGAGCTACAACAGGATAGCTGAATAGTTGCAGCAGAGACTCTGTGACCATCAAAGCTTAAGATATTTATTGTGTGGCCCTTTATAGAAAGCATCTTATAATCCTTGATACCCAATTCTTGAAATCCTTGACCTTTGAAGATGGCAGTTGTGTATAACTTACTCTAATACATGAAGAGGGAGTGAACTTTGCAGAGGGTGGTGTAAAAGCTGTGGGATATGCTTGTATATGCCCGTGTGAGTGGAAATTGAAAGACTGAGGGAATGGAGAAGGGTAAAATTCTAGAACATTATTGAGAATGAGAATGGGGATGAATAGGAATAGAAAATAACCACTCAAAATAATGTGGAATGCTTAGGCTGCCAGCCAGTCTCTGGTTAGGCTACCTGAAGGAACCTTGAATCTGGACTGGACAACAGCTCAAACCTCATGCCAGCTAGGAAACTGGAGGAGTCACTTAAGGAAAAACTCGAGATTACATGGACTTAGAAATGTAGCCGCTTATCATTACGGAGTCAGGTAGAGGAACAACATACTTAGATACCAGGACAGACTCCTGTCATTGTTACCTTCTTAAATACATTATCTAGGGACTGGTCTCAGTTACAACATACAAAAGACGTGTAGGCAGAAGAGGGAAAGGACATTCATATTTTTTTGAATGTCTGCCACATTCTGGGCACCATGCTGGTAACTTACATGTGTTACCTCATTTAATCTCCATATAATAACCTTTTTTTAATGTGTAAGATATATATATATCATAAAATTGATCATCTTAATCATTTCTGAATGTGCTGTTCAGTGTACATTCGCATTTTGTATTCCTGTTGTATAGCCATCACATCTGTCCCATCTACAGATTCTTGTCATTATCCCAAACTGGAGCTCTCTACCTGTTGAACAATAATTCCCCATTTCCCTCTATACCCCAGTCCCTGGTAACAACTATTCTGTCTCTGTCAATCCATGCATAGTAAAGTCATTAGTTTCATTTATCAGTGAAACGGAGAGTCTCAGTTTAAGTACGTTACTCAGAGTCGTATACCAATGAATGAGAAATAGAATGTGAACGCAGATCTGTCTCCCTGCAGATCCAGTCATTGTTCTGCCATGCCATCAAATACTGGCTGTCATCAGATGAAATACAGTCTTCTTAAGACATTATGGCAGTTAAATCATCTCATAAGAAATCAGTGAAAGAGGAAAACTGCTGTGTTAGAATAATTTAGTCAGTTGACCCTTATATGATAGGCCACTGTATTAGTTATCTACTGCTACATAACAGATTTCCCCAAAACTTAACAGCTTATCAAAATAGTAAATGTTTATTATCTCCTATTGTTACTGAGAGTCAGGAATCCTGAAATGGCTTAGCTGGGTTGTTTGATTAAGAGTCTCTCGTAAATTTGAAGGCTTTGTTGGGGCCAGAGGATCCACCTCCCAAGTAGTTAACTTACTTATGCCCTTAGTTGCTGACAGGCAGCCTCAGTTCCTTGCCACATGGTCTTCTCCATTTGGCTCAAGCGTCCCCATGAAATGGTAGCTGGTTTCTTCCAAAGCTAATAATTCAAGGAGGGCAGGATGGGAATTAGAATGTTTCTCAGCCTTAGAATTCTCAGCCTTAGAATTCAAACATGTCATTTCTACAGTACTGTAAAGGTTAGAGAGGACATCTCTTTGTTATGGGAAAGGAGTATTTAAAGGCGTGAATATTAGGAGGCAATAATAATAGGGACCCACCTTAGAGCCTAGCTCCCATATACATGTATTCAGAATTACCCTAAAAGCCTTTGAAAATGTAGAACTCTGGTGGTCTATAGCCAACAAGTCGGAACTGGGAAATAACTTTGGTAATATTAGAAGTAGCTTTGGAAATCCATGAGTTAATTACTGAAGTCAGTGATATGGGTAATTATCCCTTTAAAAGAAACATAGACACATTTTTCTTTTTCTTTTTTTTCCTTATATACCTGCTTATATCTTATGCAAAAGATTTGAGACCAGATTACATTGCTGAGGACATGTATGTGTCAATCTTGAACATCTTCCGGGGTACTTCCGAATTGTGTCTTCATTGAATGGCTTTATTGTCTTTGAAATGTGAGATACTCTGGAGATTTGGCAGTTGTAGCAGTTAATCTTTGGTTCATGTGAGAATTTGGGCTAAGGTAGTTGATGCTCTCTCTGATGTTTTCACAGCCCTTCTGTTACAGTGGATGATCTGAAGAACCTTTTCACAGAAGCGGGATGTTCAGTGAAGGCTTTTAAATTCTTTCAGTAAGTCAGTGCTTTCAAGAAATACATTAACATTATTTAATGTGGTATGCAAATTTTTAAAGTACTTTAATGAAGTCTTTAGAGGGTTGGGAAGAATTATAGGCAAACTGAATTCTATATACTTTTTGTTTCTTATATTATTTTCAGAAAAGATCGCAAAATGGCACTCATTCAGTTGGGATCTGTGGAAGAAGCAATCCAGGCCCTCATTGAGCTTCATAATCATGATCTTGGAGAAAATCACCACCTCAGAGTTTCCTTCTCAAAATCTACAATCTGATTTTTCTGTGAATTTTTCTCCTAAGACTGGACCATAATTTCAGTAAAACCTTCAGACATAGACTGAAGCAGCTCAAGACCAATTCTGCCTCTTTCACGAAAGTAACTCTGGTTTGATATTCAAGTATATACAGAAAATCAAGGGATATTCTTTTCTTTTTCTTCTTTTTTTCCATTTCTCCCCCCTCTTGCCAGGATGTGATCAAAGGTTTGTTTTTCCTTTGTACCATAGTTTCTATGAAAATAACCTTCAGGAAATTTTTTTTTTTCAATAATTTAATTCCCTATACTAAGTTAGATTTCAAGAGGACAGACTTTCTTTTAGTTTGGGTCCAGATCAGCCTTATAAAACATTTCTAAAATCCTTTGTACTTTGGAAAAATTTAAACATACAGACTTTTAAAATTACTTACAACCAGGTTTTTAACTTTATGATTCAGAAGTTCAACCCCTATAGGAAATTATGTCCACTTATAAATTATATTAATTATTTAGCATATATTGATAGGTATACACAAACAAATTGGGTTGTATTAGAAGAAAATTTATAAACTTGCATGTTTTCCTTCAATGGTTTCTTTTTTTCACTGCAGGACACTCCTTGGAATAATACATATCTTTAATTTTTTAAAACTATTTGGAGAAATGAAGTGTCTCAATTGTCCCCAAGGAAATTAAATAGAATCCAAGCTCTATTAAGGTGTCAAAATAATTATTAATTTTATTAGGAAAAATCATGGTTTAAATTTCAAAATGACACTATTTGCTGAGTAATATGATCTTGGAAAATTTAAAAAGAAAATCTTACTTATAAACTACTTTTTTATAATTGTTTTCAGAAAAAAAAAGTTTACAGTCTTAAGGAAAATATTCAGGTCTATCATGGTTTGACAGATTTTTTAAAAGTTATTTTTGGTAAGGTCTTATTTTAGAAAAAAATTAATCTCAAGGGTTTTTTGTACCACTATAATCTCTAATACTTATTCAGAATTACTGTGTATTTACTTAATTTCTTATGTGCCTTATTATGTGCTTATGATATAATAGGTTAGAATTTTATCTGAATATCTTGAAAGCTATATTGTGGGCTTGGTGAGCATTTTGTTTTTCTTTCCCTGTTTTGGTAAGGATTTTAAAGTTTTTTCATTGCAATTTTAAGTGGTTTTCAATAAGTAATAGTTTTTATTCAAATTTTTGGTGCTTTGGTGCAGAGATGGGGTAGGGAAGGGTGAATGGTTTGGGTAATAACTCAGTGCACACCTGTAGGCCTCTTTACATTGTGACCAGTAGTGGTCGTGCAGTCCTTGACAGAGCATACCAGTTTGGTACTATAAAATGCAGTCTCAGTTTCTGGATCTTGTCTAATCTTTCTCACTCATTAGAATTTGTCTCAGGATTACTTGGTTTTTCTCAGTTCTCAAGTGACATGCTTTTCTTTGTTACTATAACTTCATTACTGAGTGGCCCGCCTACATGGAATATGACGAGGTGGGGTCCTTTTTTATACTCTGTCCCTCTCTGTGGTTGAGTGTAAGAATACATTTTCATGTTGCTTCAGTGATTGTATAATGTAAAATTATTTCTTTTTAATTAGAAACTTTACATTCTTTAATTTTTTTCAGTGCTTGATCGGATTTTTTTAAGAAGCAGAGTTTAGTAAAGGGGTCATTTTTGTCCATCCTTTTTACAGTTTTTAGATCCTCAGAGTAGCTCATCTCACCTTCAAAAATTTCCATTTCTTTGCTATATTCCAACCATTAGCTTGAATGTTGAAAGATTATTTAAAAAAATTGGAGACTACAGGAAATACCATAGGTTATTAAAAAGCAGAATTCACTCAACACTGAACAACAGGTAGTTGGTACATAGAATAGGAAGGAGGACACTAAATTGAAACCTTTCAAATGAATCCATTTTAGCATTGACTGAAGAGATAGGTATAATCATTTATATAGTTTTTATTTTTTTCACTTAATGTGTTTTTACTAAAACACTTGAGTAAAGGGGGAGGGGAAAAAAACAAAAAAATTTTTGAGAAATCTCCCAAAATTTGCTTATTTTTTTCAAGCATACAGGCATTGTCAGTGACACATTAAATTGGATTATTTTGTTTGCTTTGAGTTGGGAATTACTGTGTGATTTAATTCATGGTTCTCATAGCATTCAGTGTCAGTGTAGCAGATGGGAGATCATAATAGCATTGAATGTAATTTTGAAGTAGGGAATGGCCTTTAAATCTGAGAGAGACATTTGAATCCTTTTCAGGGAGTTTGTGTGAGTGTGTGTGTGTGTGTGTGTGTGTAGATAAATATATATACATACATGCACTCTTCTATGTTGTACATACATATGCACAGTACATACATTTTAATTTATTGACAAAATCAGATTAAGATTTGGAAAAGAGATATTCTTATCTAAAATAGTATGCTTGAAATCATCAATTTGGGTCTGACATTAGCTCTAGTGCATGGATATCGTCCATATGTTATTTGCCGTTTGAATTATAGAGGTCTACAGTATTTGTTTTGGCATAGTGTCTGTAGAAAGATTTTAAAATATCAGGGTAGTAGAAAAACTATATCTTCGTACTTTTGTTTTGGCATGCATTTATTCAGTATCTTCTGAATAATGTTTATTTTTGCTGTTGAGCTGTCATAGTATCCTATTTTTAAGTTTATTTACTTTAAGGAGTATTGTCTTACCACTTTTGGAAGTGTCTTGACTTTTACACAAAGTATATATATTCAGGTCTTCAAAAAATAGCAGTACACGTTCAGCAGTAGCAATTTATGCCAAAAAGTTTTACTTTGAGATTTTAATAACTTGTGTAGCAGTAAAATGTGTTTTGTGTGAGATATAAATAGAAAAATGACCCAGTATCTTAATATCTTAATTGATAACTTACTGGAGAGTATCATAACTCCTAATAGCTCCTACAGAATGCTATAAATTATTTAAGACTAGGTAATCAGTTATTTTTAGTCATGTTTCTGATTCTTTTGTTAAAAGTTGCAGATCTCACAATATTTAGAGACCGAATTTCTGGCTGCTTAATTCCTTCTGGGAGCAATGCCTTCTTTGGTACCACCTAGGATGATGATCATTGGTTCTACTTCAGTTGATAAAAAGTTAACTCTCATTATTGTCTCTGTTCATTTCCATACAAACTTTTCAAAGCTTCCATGTCATTAGGTAGCAAAATTTATATAGTAAATATATTTTCATGTAATTTCTGTTTCCACTAAATATTGTTGGATGAAAGATGACGAACTCAAAAGTATGTGTTTTCCCTGAATGACTCACTTAAAAACCCTAAGTTTGCCAAACTATCACTCTGTCTCTTTGAAAACCAGTGTGTACTGCTATTTTTAAAACCAAAAGACAGCATGACTATGCGTAAAAGCATTTTTCTTAGCCTTTCCTTTGTCTTGATCAGTTGTTAACAAGAATAAAACTGCCAGACTTTAAATAGTCTACTATTGTGCTACAAGAAATACAGTTTAGATTGCACAAAAGTTTTCCTTTAAAGAAGATAGAACTCAACTGTCCTTCAAAAGAGCTGTGTTGTTATCTGTAAGACTATTTGCAGTCTTTTTTCACAGCAAATTCTAACAGTTTGTTATGAATGGTTTAAAGTAGAAAATAACTAAAAAGTTTGGGGAGTTTTATAGAGGGAGGAAAACAAAACAGGACCAAAGTTTATGTGCCTTCTTCAGTAGTCTTAATTGACCTTTTCTTCCTATTTGAGACTAAGGTAGTATCAGTATTCTGGTTTTCAGGAAATACGTACTATATAGTTTTAAAAGAATGTTATCCCACAGACTATTCATACAAGCAAAGAATTGTAACTGTATAAATGAAGTCTCAGTTACACTTTTGCCTTTATCACATAATATTCATTCAGTAGCATTGTGCAGGTCCAAGAATGAGCTGCTCTACATCTTTGTGGTAGTAATTTTAGTTTTTGTAACCTGAAGCATATGTTCCAGAGAACAGGGATATCTGTCTGGTCCAGTGACCTTGGTGATAATAGTCATGATTGAAAGCTGCGTATAGCAAGCTTAAGTCAGCACTGTAAACAGATTTTGTTGTGTTATTTTCAGTTTTTGAATCTATGTAGTAGTTGTATTAACAAATATTTAAATAGATATTTTTGATGTCATTTAAAAAAAAACACTCTGGCCTTTCCCCCCGTTACCATTATTAACCAGATCTCTTAAAAATTCATCCCACATTCAGAAAGTACTAATTATAGGTTGCTGACCAAGCAAAGTTTTGCATCAAAATGTCACCTCATTGCTCTGACCAAAGAAGACTTACTGTTCTGGTTTTAACTCCTCTCATTAAGCATTTTTTCCCAAGCTCCTTTCTGAAAGAAGACCCAGTGCAAAGCAGCCTTTACTTTCTATTTCCTGTTGGTGAATAGACTACTTAGAGAAAATGGGAGTATAAATGTGAACAGAATGGATTAGGATGACAAGGGTTTGATGGGCATTTTCAGTACTGTATTTAAGTAAAACAAAAATAGCACAGCTAGGAGCCTCTGACATTGTCTTGTGTTTTATGTGGTCTGTTCATAAAATTCCCTTTTTCAGTTTATAAGAATGTTCATCTAAGAGAAGAAAATGCTGTAAATATTTGTAACAACGTTTTTTTTAACCAGGCCAAAAAAGAAAAAAAAAAGGTTTTTGGGAACAAGTTAACATATAAAGTGGTTTTATACAAAACATCAATTGTCTTGTATATTTTGATAAGCAGCAGTACCAGCTTTCATTTGTAACACAGTTTGTGGTGTTGGAAGAAAAGGATTCTGTGATTGTTTAAGTGAATTATGTTATAAATGCAAAGAGAAGATAAAATATTAAAAAACATATTTTCTAAATGCGTAGTGCATGGTTAATTCAAGCTTCTGTACCTATAGTATATTCCATTTTCGTTCAGTTTGTATATTTGCTATTACTTGATAATCTCTAATCTCTTTTCCTAACAAGTATAGCATTGTAGCATGCCTTTTAATAAATGTCATGACATCTGTACTCTCTTAAAATTTTCTGTGTTCTTGTGTCTGTACTTTGGGTTTCCTCTTGTCTTACCTGTAATTCTAATGACGTCATACTTTCTTTTCTTTTTCATAGCCATCCGTCTAAACTTGTCATAGTTAGAGGGAATAGCAAGCATGTATTCAAACTTTAAAAACTGATAAAGCCCCAAGTCTGCTAACACCCTCTTTTAAGTAAGGAGTGATTTTATTTTGAGAAGCAAAGTGCTTTTCTAATTGTCCTACAGTGCAACTTCTTCTGTGGCCCTCTCCCTTTAGTACAAGTACACGTTGACAGACTGTGTGAGTTCTTTCTCTCCCTGTGTATCTGTCTCTCCCCACCCCCCATAAACACACTCTTTGTCTAAGCTCAGTTGCCAAACAAGAGTTGGAACACTTTCTCCAGTTCAGTTTTTAGCTTCCCTATAGGATTAGTATACATAAATTTGAAACATGAGGTGTGATCTCAGACCAGGTTTGTGTTCGTTTTAATTAAAAGGTAACAATAGTCACCAGCTGCCAGATACTTCTTTTCCTTAGAGAAAAACTTCTATTTTTAGAAGTTCTATTTTTATGTTCTTTAAAAGAGTTATGGATTGTCAGAGTTTATTTTAATCTTTTGCTTAGGATCTTTTGGAAGTAGGAATTTATTTTTAATGAAACAGAAAATTAGGTAACCACTGTTGATCTTTGCTGGCTAACCTGTAAAATCTTTTGTATCCATAAATGTAATTACTTTTTTTTTTTTTTTTCAGTGTAAGAGGCATTTTTATCAGGAAAGGGTAAAATAACTATGGCCAAATGAGGTCTTAACTGTGAAATGCTTATTTACATATCAGAAGGCTTCTAACCATCACTGAGTCATGTGGGTCTGAAATAAATGAATCTAAGAGACCACCTAGTTCAGTCTCCACTTTTTAAAGTCAGTGGTGTAAAAAAGAAAGTGACTGGCCCAAGGCCACATGACACTTAATTGCGGAGTGTGGACTAGAACGCAGGACTCCTTGATATTACCCAGTGCCAGCATTGCCCCTAGGGGTTCTGTCCTGCCAACTGTAATGAAGATTGTGATCTTGAAGTTCTGTACACAGAATCAAGGTGCTTAAATACTCTTCTGAAAACTACCAAAACCAATTTGAAGACACTGTATAGTGCTGGGTACTTTTGCTGAAGGGTAACAAATGTGTACTTCTGAAAAATTTCATCTAAAAATGTAATTTCAAGTTGCAAATTTGAAAACTCTTAAAAATGTAGTGGCTATTCATATTAGTTTCCTAGGATTCATATAACAAAATACCACAGATTAGGCGGCTTAAACAGAAATTTATTTTCTCACAGTTCAAGAACATGGTGTCCTGAGACCTCTTTCCTTAGTTTATAGATGGCCATCCTCTCCCTATGCGACACAGTCTTTCTTTTCTGTTTCTTTGTCCTAATCTCTCTTTTTATGAGGACCCCAGTCATAATTGGATTAGGCCCACCCATCTGACCTCATTTTACCGTAATTACCTCTTTAAAGGCCCGGTCTCCAAATAAAATAGTCACATTCCGAGATATTGGGAGTTTAGGATATCAACACAAGGATTTGAAGGGGGGCAAAATTCAGCCCATAGCACTATTTAGTAAAGATTATTCATTCAGCTCACTGAGTACTGATTATATCAGCAGTTTGAGCTAAGTGCAGGGGGGAAAGATGCAGAGTTAAGGGCTTGATTGCCTTACCTTTTAGGTATGTGTAAGTGTGGAATGTCGCCTAAATCCATAAACTAAGTCATTTTGAATTGAACTCTTGGCCTTCAATAAGAAGTCCCCAAAATGAATCGTGAGGCCTCTCTAGGCAATTCTAGTCAGAATACATATGGCTAAAGCTATCCTCTAGCTAATTATGAAGATGTAGGAACACATACACTGCAATAATTATCTACTTCTCAGTTTTAGAAGTGAGCCATTTCAGAGCAGAGAGCATTTCTA